ATTAAATAAAAAGACATTGATAGGCTTTGGATACCCTATTTTAGCAATAATGTATACGTGTGAAATTGGACCTTCATGACTTTTATAATTGCAAATAATGTTTAGTAATAAATAAATAGAAATCTACTAAATCTAGAAGTCCATTTGGTACCTTTCTTACGATACTTAACAAGCTTGTCTTGATGATTAGTCTTTTTTTTTCGCTTTTTTAATTAGTGTTCAGAATTCGTATTTGAGCTCTGATTAAATTTGAATTGCGCATTGCATGATTCATTAGGGGATGACGCTCTCAACATAATTTTCTTTATACTCAAGACTTGAATCGATACCTCTAGTTAAGGGTGAAACAGTCCCGTCAGTTCCTCCACAATTCATGTCGATGGTTATTACTTATTATATTGTGGCGTGTCGTTAATTTAAGTACAATATTTTTTCTAATTAAATCGTTTCACTGTTGTATCATATTCTAATATATAGATAGTCTTAAGAAATTAAAAAAAAAGCCTTTTTATAATTGATTTCATAAACTAAACAACACATTAAAAAATAGAGTTCATTATTCAAACGTCACACGACTATTTGCAATTTATTTAATAAAATCATCTTGACTTATTGAACATACATCAACATAGATTCTTCATGCTAATTCAACCATCGATCAATAATCTGAAATGCTAGTTTACATGTATATATATATATATATATTTATATTTTATTTCTATTTAATTCCAAAATAAATTGAATTAAAATAACTTTCTTATTAAAATCCTTTACATTTACATTAATATTTAAAGATAAACATACAATACGATAAAAACTTCTAGAAGATAATATTATAAAAATTAGGATAGCCACTTGAAACCGACTTGCTAACTAAAAGAAAGCATTTACATTTGTAGGAAAAAAGTAATAAATGAATAATATGGACAGCCACACATAGCAAAATAGTGATTTTGACTTCACACCAAATACCAATAATTCAAGCAAAGGCGTGTTCCCAAACGGAAAGTTCATTTATATCTCAACAAACAAGAAGAAATTAGTTGGATAGGACTAGCTCGATTTTAATTTACGTGGTATTTTTTGAATTTTATTTATATATTTTAAATATTTCGAACAGTAAGTTATTGTACATATGTTATTTTCTTAAGTAATTTTTAAAATTGTGTAAATTTTATTTTTAAAACACTTAAAAATTTCATGCTCGAAATCACTAACAAAATAAATTATTGGATAATGTATAAGTACCTCTCAACTTATACCAGAAATCTTAGAGACACACTTATACTATACTAAGGTCCTATTACCCTCTGAACTTATTTTATTCATAATTTTCTATCCTTTTTCGGTCTATGTGTCATTATCTTGTGGGCCCAACGCTATTTAATTTTTTTTTCAAACTAGTGCCACGTAGGTCAAAAAGGGGTAGAAAATTACTAATAAAATAAATTCAGGGGATAATAAGACCTTAGTATAGTATAAGTATGTCTCTGAGATTTCGGACATAGGTTGAGGGGTTACTTGTGAATTTTCCCTAAATTAGATTCTAAAAAAAATAGAAACGTGTCATATAAATTGAAAAATGAAAAGTACTCTTTTATAATAAATATAATGTCTTAAAAATATGAATGGGAAATGAGTAAATAATTATAATTAATGATAAATATAAAATAGGAGAATAAGTGTAAAAATATATTTTAATTTCATAAAGTGAACAATTACTGTTGGATATTTTAAATAGTACAAAAATAACTACTGTTAGATTGAGAAAATTTAACAAGAGTATTTCATCTCTATACTCGTACTAATTCATGTGTAATTTTGGATGAAGATTAACATAATTATATTTGATCGAATTTTTATTTTTTTTTAACGCAACACAAGTAAAAATAAACGGATTCAAAAAGTTAGCGAGTACTTTGACAAAAAGTTAGTGAGTAGTTTTCTTTTTCTTCTATAAATAAATTAGACTTTTTTCCATCCATTTCCAACCGAAAACACAACATATCCATACTCTGTTTTTTCTAATATTTGCACTCTGTTTTCAACCATGGCAGATTCCGACAACAACAACGACATTGTCACTGATTTCTTCCCATACTATCGACTCTACAAAGACGGTCGAGTAGAACGTTTCTACGAACTTGGTGGTGTACACCAAGTTCCACCGTCGCTGGAAGATCCAGCGACTGGTGTATCATCAAAAGACGTGAGCATCTCTGCTCACGTCTCCGCTAGACTCTACCTCCCAAAAAACACCGCACCCAATCAAAAACTCCCCGTCCTAGTGTATTACCACGGCGGAGGACTTGTATTAGGATCCGCATTTTTCAAAACAGAGCATTGTTATCTCAACCATCTGGTTTCCGAATCGAATTGCATCGCGATTTCTGTAGATTACCGTCTTGCCCCTGAGCATGACATCCACACAATCTACCAGGATTGTTGGGATGCACTTCAGTGGGTTGCGTCACATTCTGTTTCTGATACAATTAACAAAGAACCATGGATAGAAAATCACAGTAATTTTAACCGACTGTTTGTAGGGGGTGACAGTGCTGGAGGCAATATAGTTTATAATATGATCATGAGAGCGGGGAGAGAAAAATTGATCGGAGATGTGAAAATTTTAGGTGCAATACTTGGATTTCCTTATTTGATGATACCATCGATTGAAAACTATGACAAAGGAATGGCTTACAAGCTTTGGAATATGATTTGCCCGCTCTCTGAGCGGGGAAATGATAGTCCAATGGTTAATCCAGTCTCGAAGAAGTGCCCTAGCTTATCTAAGCTAGGATGCTCGAGACTTTTTGTGTGTACGGGAGAGAAAGACGAACTTGTCCCTGGAGAAGTTGCGATAAAATTCGCCGAAGCTGTGAAGAAAAGCGGATGGGAAGGCGAAATTGAATCGATTATAGTTGAAGGTGAAGGTCATTGCTTTCACTGTGAAAATCCTCAAGCTGAAAAATCCAAAGATTTGATCAAACGTATAGTTTCTTTCATCCAACGTGATTAACATTTGTTTTTACAAATTATTATTATTTGCACTCGTAACGAGTTTCCTCGAGAAACAATCTATCTATCTCTATGAGATAGAAATAAAATTTACATATATTCTATCTTTCATATCTTAAATTAAATATCTTTCGATAAACATATGTAATAGCGTGAATATTTTATTGGTAGTGTTCTGTGGTGTAGATAAATTGTTAGAAGCTATAAAGTGTTTAATATGTGGTATAGTAGCAAACAGTCCATGTGATAAATGAACGAGTCATATCCACCTTTTATATATATATATATATATATAATAGTTCATACATAAATCAAAAAACTACTCAATTTTTATAAACTCCAAAAAATTAATAGTCTTTGTGAGAACCACTGTCACACAAATAAATATTTGTGTCAACTACGTCTCAAAATAATATAGTGAATAATTATTATCAAACGACACTTGTGTTGGGTTATCAAATTACAAGATGTTTAATTAATATCATAAGAAGACAATTTTTTAAATGTGATTTTGCATGCCATAGTTTAAGCATCCTAATTCATAATTAAGCGCCATTTTTTATGCCTACTTCTATTTAAATACTCCCTCTGTTTCAAAAGAATGTCTCTATTTTCTTTTTAGTTTGTTTCAAATATAATGACCCCTTTTCTATTTTGATAACATTTTAATTTTAACTTTCCACGTGACATGTTTAAGACCACAAGATTATAGGGCATTTTGGTATATTTGACATAACTTTAATTTAGAACCACAAAATTAAAAAGTCTTATTTCTTTTCTTAAACTCCGTTTCAAGTTAAACTAGGTCATTTTTTTGTAAACGGAGAAAGTACAATTTATATAGGGAAAAAAGTCTAACTATAGTATATGGTTACCCTAAGGGAAAAAAAGGTCATGTCCAATACTTACTAATTAGTTTGTTTGATTACACCTTTTTGCAATTATTTATATTTGAATCTGAATAAATTATATATTTCACGTAAAAAAGTATCACAATTGGATGTAATCACTCCTTTACAAATTAAAATAATTTATATTTTGAGCTCGAATTTGAAATTTTTAATTAAAAAAAAAAATTGTATTCTATTGATGAACGATTATTTCAAGTTTCAACATAAAACTTTGACAAATTACATCAATTAGGATTCAAATTGTTCTCCTCTATTTTTATGTCTATATTAGTGACAATTCAATGAGCTATGATAACAGAAAATAAAATAAAAAATACAATATATACAACTTCTTTTGGTATAGTGAAAAAAAAATTAAATAAAATATTTAAAATCGTTTATAAGTCACATAGATATGTAAACTTACTCAAATGATTATATTTCGAAATAATAAACTTCAAATCGTGAATACACCTTTGTTAATAGATAAATAAGCTTATTGTAATGACACAATCTTTCCAAGGGCAGGGACCTTTACATAGAGCAAGTTTGCTATCAGACCCACACTATACGATAAGGGTGCATGTATATTCGGTAACTCTCGAAAAAAATTTATATATATATAGAGAGAGAGAGAGAAATTGATAGAAATTGAGATATGGTTAACAGTGCACCCATAAAATCATATATATATATATATGTCTTTGTGCAATTGATAGAAGCTAGAGATATCAACCCTCTAAAGTCTAAACTAGGGTTCGAATCCCATGGTTAGTTGTTTAAATGGACATTTCACTTGGATAATTATTAAAACAATTTGACATTGAATATTCATCTTTTTAAAATAAAGGAACTCAACTTCATTATAACCTCATAATTAAAAACTCAAAATAAAGCTGATTTGCTCTCTTATTTTATATTTTTTTAAACAATAGCAAACATATCATTACTGTAGGCATTACATATCGTCAATTTAAGATAAAGAAAAATCAATATTAATAGTATATCATAACAACAATAACACAGTAATCTGAAGATATAAAATATACGTAGATCTTATTTTTATTACGGAAATATAAATAAGACATGAATCACTTAGCGTTGGATAAAAGAAGCGATACGTTTGATCAAATGTTTAGATTTAGGAGCTTGAGGATTCTCACACTGAAAGGCATGAACTTCACCTTCAACTTCAATCAACTCAATTTCCCCTTTCCATCCGCTTTTCTTCACAGCTTCGACGAATTTCGTCCCAACTTCAGCTAGGATAAGTTCGTCTTTCTCTCCCGTACACACGAAAAGTCTCGAGCACCCTAACATACATCGATAAGTCAGGGCTCTTTGTCGAGACTGGATTAACCATTGGATTATCATTTTCCCCCTCAGAAAGCGGGCAAATGGTATGCCAAATCTTGTAAGCCAAACCTTTATCGAAGTTTTCAATCGATGGTATTAGCAAAAGAGGAAATCCAAGTATTGCACCTAAAATTTTCAAATCTCCGATCAATTTTTCCCTCCCCGCTCTCATGATCATATTATAAACTATATTGCCTCCAGCACTATCACCCCCTACAAACACGTGATTAAAATTACTGTGATTTTCTATCCATGGGTCTCTGTTAATTGTATCTGAAACAGAATGTGACGCGACCCACTGAATAGCATCCCAACAATCCTGGTAGATTGTGTGGATGTCATGCTCAGGGGCAAGACGGTAATCTACAGAAATCGCGATGCAATTTGATTCGAAAACCAGATGGTTGAGGTAACAATGCTCTGTTTTGAAAAATGCAGATCCTAATACAAATCCTCCGCCGTGGTAATACAATAGGACGGGGAGTTTTTGATCGGGTGCGGTGTTTTTTGGGAGGTAGAGTCTAGCAGAGATACACCAGTCTCTGGATCTTCCAGAGACGGTGGAACTTGGTGTACACCAGCAAGTTCATAGAAACGTCTACTCGACCGTCTTTATAGAGGCGATAGAATGGAAAGAAATCGGTTTCAACATCATTGTTGTTGTCGTTGGAAGAGGCCATACTTGAAACAAAGTATGCAAATGTTAGAAAAAATGTTGTATTTTAAGTTGGAGATGAATGGAACATAATGTAGTCTATATAGAGAAAAAAAGTCACTCTTTGCTCTGTCTATTTTTTTTAATATTTTATTTTCAACATTTATTATTTATTTTTCAGATGACTTTTAAGATTTAAGATCATACATCATTTAGTATGAAGTATTTGATAAAATATTCATGTTAATCTTTATTTCTCAAAAATATATAAAAAATTGAAAATGAAAAAATAAAAGTGAACTAAGAGAATAAAATCTCTATCTTACTCTGTATGACATATTTTAAATTTCAAATTTCAAAAGTCAAATAATTTTATTTCAATTCTAATTTTGAGCATTAGATCTTTAAGTGTTTATATTCTAAAATTGCTATATAAAAATTGACGTTTTAAAAATGTAAAGAATATAATTAAAAAATAAACGCACGATAAATATATACTTCTAGAAGATAATATTATAAAAATCAAGATAGTACCTTGAAATTAACCAACTAAGATAGGTACTAGAGGACTTGAGACAAGGGTGGAGCTACATCTAGCTAAGGATGGTCAAATGAGCAATCTCCGTAGAAAAAATTTTGAGCACTAAATAAGACATTTTGTTTAATTTTTAAAATCTCGTTATTTAAATTTAAAAAGAGAATAAAAATGACAACAAAATTCAAAAGATTCATATTATCCAGGATTATTTTAAAATTTGGAATATATTGATCTGTTTATTTTTTAAGATAGACCAGTCGAACCTCAACTTCAACATATATTTTTTATAAATATTTGAGAGAGCCTTTGTTGTTAAAAAAAATTAAAATTGTTATCGGTTAAATATTAAAATTATTAAATTTAAATAGATTATAAATCAATCTCTCATGACACACACTTATTTATAGATATATGTATTCACATGTATAGGCTTGTAAAATTTTATAAAATATACATATTAAATTGATGATATCTTTATATATATTGATCAATCCAATATAAAAAGATCACAGATCTTATCCATTATATTGAAAATATTTATTTTGCTTTTACTTTTCACTATTAAAATATGATCTTTTTAAAAAGAAAAAGTACTCATAATAGAATTATTGTATAGAGTATGAATATGAATATGAAAATATTTTATCTAAACTCAACGCAGTAAAAACTAAAAACCTAAAGTAACGTGTGAGGGCCTATGTGCCTTACAACTTAAGAATTTTGCGTAACAAATTGATTTATGATCGATTCAAATTGAATGGGTTCAATGATTAATTGATAATAATTTTGATTCTTTTTATCATTATGTTATCGATTTTTAATAAATAGTTTGAGGTTTTCTTTAATGAATTATCGATAATCAATATGTTATTGATAATTTTAAAATCGAATGAGCTCGAAAAATACGCTTAAATAGCGACTTGACTGCATCACTTATATTTTTATGCACATCTAAATAGTGAAAATAGAAAAGAAAAGAAAACACAATAACAAAACATTAATAAAATTAATAACGGAGTAGGAATATTATTTTAAATATTTTTTTAATCGTAAGGCACACACCGACATGCGTCTTACAAGGCACATGTCAACTTGCCTGGTAAGGCTCATGTCTGGCTGCGTTTTCTTGTATACGATTTAACCGCATCCATATTTCATCAAAATATTGTTCTCTTGGTTTGATTCTTATTTTTTGTTACATTTTGGAAATTCTACTCAACTTTTTTGCCTCTGTAGTTCTAGACTCTTAATATTCCTGTTATTCTACTCAACTTTTTTGCCTCTGTAGCTCTAGACTCTTAATATTCCTGTTTGTATGCACTTCAACAAAAATGATCATTAGCGATAATAAATTTTTAATTGTTGTTAAATATATATTTTTAGCGGCAATTGTCACTCTTTATATAATATAATTGTATAAATTGTGTTTTTGTTTGTAGAAAGCGAGAGAAAATTATATTATATATACACATGCAAATATCTATATTTCCGTCCTATACACTTATAATTATACAATACAATTATTTCTCTGCCCAAGTCTCTTTTGTCGTTATCTCTTTCGCGTTTTATACAATTCAATTATAATTCTCTTTTTCTCGTTTCATACAATTTGATTCAATTGTATATTTTCTACTCTATTCCCTGCCCAAGTCTCTTTCGCCTTTCTCTTTCCGTTTTAAACATATTCAAATTGTATATAATTTATCTCTTTCTCGTTTTATACAATTCGATTCAATTGTATACAAATTTGAAGAGAAACCAACGAATTATACAATTACTTCTTTGTATATATGTATATCAAAATGAGCATAGCTTTAAGTTGTATATGTATAGTGAATATACATTTATATATTTGTTATGAGACACAATTATACAAACATTGCTATAATATACAAATTTAAATTTTGTGTTTGCTATATGTGAAAGTTGTCCATATTTAATATCGCTAAAACTTGTTTTTGTTGTAGTGATAAAAGAAAAACATAAAACACATATATCCTCTAAATTAGTTTTACTTTTTAAAAAAATAATTATTACATTTTTTCAATTTTATGAGACAGTTCAAAATATCCCTGAGTTTAAAATAATCGTGTATAGTATAAATCCTTTTAATTTTCTCCCAATTTCTTAAGTTTTATATAGAGTAGTTAATTTCCATAATTTTTTCTATGAAATAATCGCCCGATTTCTTAAGTTTAATAGAGTAGTTAATTTCCATAAAATTTCTATTAAATAATCTCCCAATTTCTTAAGTTGTATAGGGTACGTAGTTAATTTCTATTAAATATATAAATAAAAAGACATAGATAGGCACTAAATACCCTAATTTAACATTAAGTCCTCTAGTGCCTTTCTTAAATGGTCGATTTCGACGAACATAGTGGGTTTATTTATTTTTTTCAATTATATTCTTCATATTTAAAAATATTTTGAAATGTTAATTATTATGACTTATAATTTTTAAAACACTTAAAAAATCTAATGTTTGAAATCACAATTAAAATGAAATTGTTTAATTTTCAAAATTTATATCACATAAATGTATGAATTTAAATCTCGAAAACTGATTTGAAAAATCAATTATTAATGTTAAAGATAAATGATGGGAAAAAAAGTGCTTCTAATATAGAGTAGTGATCGGGTAAAAATGCAGGGAAGGAAGCGAATAATAACCTTTTTGTCTCTATATTTATATACAATTAAGAAAGAATAAAATTTATATTTAATTAATCTATTTACGTTTGGATTGGGTCATTTTTCTTTTTAAGTTTGAGTTTTGGATTAATTGTTAGCTCTTATATTCGGGAAAAATAAAAGATGAAAAGAAAAACACAAAGAACTATATGAGAGTCCAGAGAAATAATTGTGTGTTTTTAAGAAATTTAATCTCACCAGGTATTCGAGGTTATATATTAATTCTTCTCAGGATAAAATGAATTAACCATTAAAGAAGTAGCGGTACACCTCAAACTTCAATAATTTCAACAAACTCTCGAAATGACAGCAACGAATCAAACACAGACACGATTGATCGATTTTATTTTGTAAGAAATGTATACATAAGAAGGGAAGAATTCAATGTAAAAAATTGAGAGAAATCTTCTCTATTTATAGCCAACGAATAATAAAGATCACAATTTTTTGAAAAGAAGGCAACATTTCTGAAAAGATCACAACAATTCTGAAAAGAGACAGTCTTTTAAACGATTACAATCCTTTAGAAAATATATAATCGTTTATAAAAATCACAAATCGTTGACATAGTTACAATCATTCATTTTTTGTTCACACCTTTAAAGTACAACATTAATCAAATTGGTTATTTAGAATTTTTTATTCTTAGCCTATAAATTGAGTTTTTTTCTTGTTTAAAAGATGGATATCCTAATAAAGTAATCATGTTAAGCTATCTTTATGATTTTTCAATTATAATAGTTCATATATAAATCAACAACTACTCAATTTTTATAAACTCCGACTAAAACATCAATTAATATTCATTGTGTGGAACCACTGTGCACACTTCTTCAAATAACAATAAACAATACTGTTAAATGCATTTGGAAATATCATAGTAGACAACTATTAAATTAAAATAGTAATATTATGAAAATAAGGCAAGAGAATGTTTTTTTCATAGTTATATCTTTAATAAAACTTCTACAATATAGTCTAGTCAAGAAAGGCACTTCTGTTGGGTTATCAAATTACAAGATGTTTAATTATATAAAAATCATAAGAACACAATTTTTTAAATGTGATTTTACATACCATAGTTTAAGCATCCTAATTCCTAATTAAGCGCCACTTGTTATGCCTAATTCTATTTAAATACAATTAATGTGGAAAAAGAAATCCTAATTCCTAATTAAGCGCCACTTGTTATGCCTAATTCTATTTAAATACAATTAATGTGGAAAAAGAAATCTAACTATAGTATAAATAGGGGTGTTCGTGGTTTGATTTGGATCGGTTATTGATCAAAATTAAAATCAAATCAATCTAGTCAGTTTTTAAAATTTCTAAAGCCAAACCAAACAAAAAAAATAACCATCGATTTGGTTCATTTTTTTGATTTTTTCGATTTGAAAGTAATAATTTTCTTTTAGGTTGTACGTATCTCGATAGACACAAACACCAAGTTCATGAATAATCTACATAATAACTAATGCTATTTCAGTGAATCAATTAAATAACATTAGAGTTATTATTACACGAATAAAGTGTTTCAGTTAAGAGAAAGTGTGACAATGTTATGTGAAGTACAATAAGTAAAGACTAAAATATATTTTGATGGATTTGGATTTGAATTTGACATTGTTATAATTGGGCTTGAAAAAATGATAAAGTTAATGACTTAAGTTAATTAAAATTGAAAAAATTACGTGGATAAACAAACTTATACTATTTAATTGTTCATCATAGTTATAGTTTGCTATAATTACTACTTGCGACTAACATTATACATTAATTACGTGGGCTGACTT